GACATTAACAAAGCTTCTGGTCCGGACTTGATTCCTGCCATTGTACTGAAGAGATGTGCAGCGGAGCTTGCTCCAGTTCTTTCGCGTCTCTTCCAGATATCTTATGAATCCGGCACCTTCCCAGAAAACTGGAAATTTGCTCATGTACAGCTCATCCCAAAAAAAGGATCTAAAACCGACCCTTACAACTACAGGCCTATAGCTCTGCTTTCTGTTATAAGTAAAGTGATGGAGAGGTGCATAAATCGCGAGCTTCTGGACTACCTCGAACGTCACAGCTTGATTAGCGACAGGCAGTACGGTTTCCGGCACCAACGATCCACAGGGGACCTCCTAGCTTACGTCACGCAACTGTGGAGTAAACTCATCCAGTCTCATGGTGAGGCTCATGTCGTTGCTCTTGACATCACGAAAGCGTTCGATCAGCTGTGGCACGCTGCCCTCTTAAGCAAACTTCCATCCTACGGCCTCCCAGAAAAGCTTTGCAGATGGGTGGCTGACTTTATCTCTGGCCGCAGGATATCCGTCGTAATTGACGGATTCTCCTCTTCATCCCATATCGTCAACGCGGGTGTTCCCCAGGGATCGGTCTTGGCTCCAACACTGTTTCTCTTACATATCAACGACCTCCTTTCCTGCACGATCAACTCAATCCACAGCTTCGCTGATGACAGCACTCTACATGCAGGAATTCAGAGTGACAAGCCGATCTCTGCCGCTGAGCTGGAAAAAAGAAGACTAGCGACGACTTCTTCTCTGACAAGAGACCTGGAGGCTATCACTGCTTGGGGACGCAACAATCTTGTACAGTTCAATGCTTCCAAAACACAGTATTGTACTTTGACGAACAAAAAGCGTCCTAGCGCTCATACAGTTTCGATGGACGGTCGAGTTCTACCAAAGAGCCATTCATTTCGGCTGGTCGGAGTCCAGGTCACCGAGGACCTGATCTGGCACGAACACATCTCTTCAATAGCTGCAGCTGCTGGGAAAAAGCTAGGCTATTTGTTTAGGGCTAAGAAGTACTTTTCTCCGCATGACCTTCTCACTCTATACAAGGCCCAGATAAGGCCTAGCCTCGAGTATTGCTCACACATTTGGGGTGCTGCCGCCCCGACTACATTGTCCATGCTCGATGCTGTCCAGAGGAGGGCGGTCCGACTGATCGATGACTCCTCTCTAACAGACAGTCTTGGGACTCTTTCGCACCGGCGGGCCGTCGGCGATCTAGCTCTTTTCTATCGCTACACCAACGGGCTTTGCTCCTCAGAGCTCTCTTCTATGATGCCGCCGCGCGATGTGCCTGCCAGACAGACCCGCCTGACTTCGGCGTCCCATCCTAACCGTGTCAAACTTCGTACATCCAGAACTGGCCGATACGACCGCTCTTTTGTCCCGAGGGTGTCTAGATTGTGGAACAATCTACGGGAGGAAGCTTTTCCCAGTTCTACTAACCTTAGGCAGTTCAAAAATCGTATTAACAAAATTTCTTTGGGATCATCATAGCAGCCGCGGTGTTCCGACATTTAGGCTTCTGCCTGCGCCGCTGTTTCGATATAAAAAAAAAAAAATCAGAGGTAACATGAACGCGCAGCGTTATATCCACGAAGTTCTAGAACCCCATCTTTTACCCTATCTTGACACCCTGGCAGATCCAACTTTCCAACAAGATAATGCCCGACCATATGTTGCAAGAGTCACAATAGACTTCTTTCAACATAATGATGTCACATTGTTACCATGGCCACCAAGATCTCCCGACTTATCCCCAATTGAGCACGTGTGGGATATGATGGGTAGGAGATTGCTCAATTTGCAACGTCCTCCTCAGACTCTAGAAGCACTTCGAGAGGAGTTGGTAGTTGCCTGGAATGAGATACCACAGGAGGACATTGACCACCTGATCAGAAGCATGCCTAGGCGCGCTGGAGAGTGCGTAGCACATCAGGGTGCATCCACACATTATTAAATTTTTATCATTTACTTATTATGCTTCATTAAGTACTTATACAAAATTTTATTAAAATAAAACCATTTAAACTGGGTGTTCGGATTTATATGTCACTTAGTATAATTTGTAATTTCGCCACACTTTGTTAACTAACTTTTGTAAATTTTATACTTTCGTACTTGTATGAGATTTTTTAAAACTTTCAAACAATCTTTGGTAAAACTTGGATTTGTCTATGTGAAACGACATCTTATTTAAACATTAAACTTTGGCTAATGGAATCAATGGTAACACGAATGTTAACTTGCTTTACTATGCTTACAATACGTCTACTCGCTATAGTATCCAAACGAAACAATACACTGATAGAGGAAATTTAGACAAGTGAACACCGCGCGGTAATTCCCCTACTCGGTTCTAAAGCGAGTAGGGGAATTACCGCGCGCTGTTCACTAAACGTATGCATATTTCCCCTTTGTGCAACTAAAGTGTTAGAACGATTACCAGTTTATACCTTGCCCTGTCGTCGAAGAAAATATACGCGTGCCTGTTTCGGATGCCTTTACATAATGTCAAAAACAATCTCTCATCTCAAGCATCTGATCCCGAGACTAGAAAGTCCTAAACTTAAAGGAAGCCGACGCGTATCTTTGGAGACAACATTGTGTAAAGAGAACGAAATTGCAGTAATGTAAAATCAGTCTCGGTACAGTGATGGCAGCATCTGGTATCGGTGTATATCTTTTCAGCAGTCACGCATATTGTGCTGTGTGCGGGTCACACGTCGTCGCTGTTGAGTCCGGGTCCGTCCGTTCGCGCAAATTGCGATATAAATCTATCTCGCCGTCAGAATAAATTTACAAACGCTTAACGTTCACCGCCCGTCCCGTTGCCGCGCGATCTCGTCTCGTCGATATTTGTCCGTTAAGTCAACAACCAAGAATTATGCAGCAAACACTTATCACTAGTCCTACGCCAACTGGGGGGCGGACATCCCCGTTTGATTTCTGTCTTTGTCTCGCCGCGTCTGTTTCGCTTCCTCTGCTTGATGTGCATTTTGCATTCCAACGCTCCGGATTAAATCAACTGGAGAGTCGTACCAAAGAGGTCACATCTTGAACCCTTCAACTGAACCTACGTTGCGGAAGTTTGCAGTTTGAAAAGTCGAAAAAAAGCTTGTGTTTGTTTCCGTACCAGTCATCCGCCTTTGAGGTTTTTCAATATTGCAAAATACGAAAATTTGTTGATGTCGAGGAAGAAACAACTGCTATTATACAGGGTGGCGCATCGAAAACGAATTATAAATGATGAACATTTTCTATTCGACACTTGCTTTTCCGACGATTGTTCGTTTTTCTTAAATGGCGTAGTAATTGGTCATAACTGCCGATATTGGTCCGATTCTAATCCCAGAATTTATCACATTAGTTTTATATCATTATAAAGGGAATTGAAATACCTTTAAAATAAGGTATCACTCGACCCCCCTTTCCATTTAAGATTTTGGGGGTGGTGTCACCCCCGCTTAGGGGGCTGCACGTGCTAACGTGATTTTTTGCCAAACTTGTGTCCCCCTCGAAAACAAAATCGACGGGTCTGAGCGTTTTTCCCGAAAAAAAAACTGAGCTGCCAGTAAATGCGTGTTTCGTTTTCGATGCGCCACCCTGTATATACAGGGTGACTTCGAAGTTGAGTCATTTATTTTAACAGTGAGTAGATCTGATCAAAAGAAATGTTTTTTTCCTTTACCATTTCTCTGGTAAAATTAAAGTAACAAAGTTATGGCCCTTTGGAAGTTTGAGTACCGCCCTGTCTCAATAATAATATTATGTGCTCGTGTTTGGCAACAACGGATATAATCCGCCTTATCGGTTCATCGCATCGGAAACAAAAAAGCGAAAGAATTTGGAACGATGTTTTTACAATTATTTTATTCAGTTGTATACAGTCAGTGTCAGTCGGTAACGCGTGAGTGAATAGCGGTGTCTGTTGCGTGGCTCAAACGAAATAAAAAATGGCACATGTTTATGCGGGTCGGTTTCGCAATCGAGTGCAACCAACCCCTCGTGCCTTTGTTAATGAAGTACGACGGGCTCGTCAATCAGGTGACTTAAGACCTCACAGGGGACGGCATGCCGGTGCTCCAAGACCTCACGATCAAATACAGGTCCGCACTGAAATACTTGTCGGGAGGATACTTTATAAAACAAGGTAACATTTTTTTTTAATTTTTTTTTTATTTTTACACACAAATTTTGGTTTATCTTCCTTCTACAATCATTATCTGAAAATTAATGACTCAACTTCAAAGTCACCCTGTATATATAGACAGAGAGAAAATGATCATGCGGAGAAAGATATATAACAAAAAGTAATAAAGTAAAGTAATAAAAAAATTGAGTTCGAATTTGGAATACATTAGATTTGAGCAACGTGTAAAATAATCTCAAAGAAGACAAATTTGTATTAAAAATTATGCAAGACGTGAGCAGAAGGCAGCATTTTCGTTCTTCTGATTCGTTTTTCGAGCTTTCACTTATTGTTTAAATAGAACGATTTTATTAATGACGTTCTTGAACCATCAAATTTTCAGCAGCGTCTAATCAGGAAATCTACATCTCAGTCACTTTTCTGTCAACAAGTTCGTTCTGTTTTGCAACATTCATATTAAATATATACGCAGTTGTTCAAATAAAGAAGCGAAGCTTCTCAGTATTCCAAATATGATTTTTTCTTTCCAATAAGCGATTACCTTTTTCGATAAATATTAGTCCTCTGTCGTCTTATAAGAAAGTTTCGATATCAACTTATTTTTGCTGGTATGACAATATCTCCAGGGTATTTATAGAAGGAATTATTGGATAAAGTATGCCTTTGTAATAGGTAAAAACAAGTTGTACTTTGCTACATTACCTGCCGTGTATAATTTTTTGATTCATCGCTGAGCAACAAATTAATGTGAAAACTCAACAGCATTTGTAACTTTAACGAATGCCTATTTTGTAAAAGTCTAAGTGTTTTGGAAGTAAGAATAAAAAAAATCTCTTGGCTTAAATCCATATCTGAATATACAACGCAAATGAAAATTTCATTTATTTATATCAGTATTACAATTTTCAGTATCTTCACTGCCAACTGCAGCCTTTTTATCTGTGATATCATCCCATGACTGAACCTTTCCGGATCCCAGGAAGACAAATGCGACAGTTGCAAATATGTACATTGCAGCAGCGATCAGAAAGATTATCGTCCACTGACTCTTGTTAGACTGAAAAAAAGCATACGCGTTAAATATCGCCAAATCGTGGCGTAATATTATTCATTGTTTCGAAACTTTGGAAACACCCTGTATAGTTACCTCATCTGTGACTATAACCTGCACCAAAAGCGGAACTACGATGTCGCATATGGTACAAACAGCATTGGTGATGGACATAAGTATCGCACAAAAATTTGGTGAAATGTCCAGGTAGCTCATCGAGATACCACCTTGGTATGCCGCGCTGAATGACTGGTGGAGAACCATCAACACGCAAGAGAGGATTGTAGCATTTTCTGGTAGAAAAACTCAAAGAAACCAAACATATTGCTGGTCCAACTGTAGCTGAAATTATAATAGGGTTCAGAATAGCTTTAAGTCATTTAAGCTCGGTGCTTATAATCCCAACAAAGTTTTCCAGTGTTCATGATAGTATGAGTACAATAAGCAAAGAAATGGTTTCTTATGCATATGGTAGCAAGATGTTCAATTGTCTATACTAAACCTATCCATAAAAAAAATGTGCTGAACAACTTACATATGGTAACAAATACTTTTCTGCATCTTTCCAGACTCATTATTCTTTTTTTAATAACAGTATCGGCAACATACCCGAAAATGAATCCAAGTATGAAATTAGCTAGAAATGGGAGTGATGAAACAACACCATTCTGTAAGGAAATCATAGAAAATGTTATACCTTCCATTACTATTTGAATAAAAGAGTGAAAGTGATTATTACTAGGTATGATATTTATTTTTGAGTCATCTTCGGCGCGCTTTCTCAACAAGTGCACAGATGAAATCATATTCATGAATCAACAATAGTGTTCTTTCTGGTGAATCAAAAATTAGTCATATATAGGGTGCGTCAGCTATTACTTTTTTTTCTATTTGAAAAAACAACACGCTTTTTACGAGGTGAAATCGAATTTTTTTATCGATAAACGAAGGTTAGTTTATGCCATTTATGTATGAAAAATAGCATCAGTCATGTGACCACCGCGGCTTCGTTTACAGGTCAACATCCGAACATCAAAATTTTCAATGACTTTTCCCAGAATAATCGGGTCTAATTTCAGTCCGAATATTGCGCTTTAGGTCTTGAATTGTCCGGGGACCATTCGCATACACTTCTCCTTTCAAAAATCCCCAAAGAAAATAGTCAAGAGGTGTTAAATCGTACGATCTCGCGGGGCAACTAACATCTGAATTTCGTGAAATTATGCGGTCTTGAAATTTGGTGTGCAATAAGGCGAGACGTGTGAGCCGTTACTCCGTCTTGATGAAACCAAAGATCGGCACCAATACGATCCAATTGTGGCGACAAAAAGTCTGTTAACATGCCGCGATAACGTTCCCCGCTGACGATAATGGCCTTTTCTTCGGCATATTCAAAGAAGAATGGTCCAACGATGCCACCAGCCCATAATCTGCACCAAACAGTCACCTTTTCATGATGGAGAGGTTGTTCATGATGTTGGTGTGGATTTTCAGCCCCCCAGAATCTACAATTTTGCTTATTTACGTACCCATTGAGATGAAAATAAGCCTCATCAGAAAAGAGCACTTTGGCCGAAAATCCGTCTTCTCTTTCCGGCATCCAATTAACAAATACACGCCGCTTTTGATGATCTGCCGGCTTCAATTCTTGTGTTAGTTGGATTTTGTATGGATGGAGGAGTAAAATCCGGCGTAAAGTGGTCTCACTAATTCCCAATTGTTGCGAACGGTCCCTATACTACAACTATTTAAAACTGTAATGACTCATACGCGTGATCAACACGTGATCAGAGCTCGATCCCGGCTTCCTTCCAATACAGCCGTATAGCGTACGACATATGTCGTTTCTGTGGCTTTGCGGTGGTCAACAGCACAGACAGAGATGGAAATAATGGCTGATTGTTCTCCGCCGGTAGAACCAATGAAATCAAAGACGCACCTCGACCGGTAGACTCGTAGGCGTCGGCAACGCATTGGAACGTGTTTCGTTGAGCGATCGCATATTGTGTGTTTTTATAAGAATTGTTGTGTGATTGTTATTGTTGTGGTTTCTGTGGTTACTGTTTTGGTTATACTTAACCATGGAGAGTATAAATGGCACGAGTGGAAGTACTGAAAGCCAGGGAACAAGTAGACGGCTTCGTAAAGCACTGAAGAGGGACGCGAAAGAAATCGTGCTCAACGTGTTCAATTATCTGAACAGAACTATGTCGCAAGGAAATGCACTCGCGCGTTGTGAAAGTATGACAGGCGTTCCAGAGTGGACCATTCGCAGGGTGGTGCATGAAAAGAAGAAGACTGGAGCTACTACTGATCCAAAGTTTAATTTGAAGGGACGAAAGGCCGTTAAATTGGATGACGATAGCAAAATGGCGTTAAGGCGAACCGTACATTCATTCTTCTTTAGGAATGAGATACCAACCCTCAAGGCTGTACATGCAGCGATCAAGGAAAATGAAATTATACCCCAAATGAGCGTCGAGGTAATGAGGAAATCCCTGCACGAAATTAATTTTCGTTACAAAACGCGTAATCGGAAGTCAGTATTGATAGAGAGACCTGTAATAGTCGCCTGGCGTCGAAAATACCTACGCGAAATGATTGAATATAGGCGACAAAGCAGAAAAATCTATTATTTGGACGAGACATTGGTAAATGCAGGTCACACAGTTAAAAAAACCTGGATAGACAAAAACGTAGTGAGTAACCGACAAGCAAGCATTGAAGGTTTGTCAACAGGTCTTCGTGGACCGTCAGGGAATGGTCAAAGATTGATCGTAACTCATATTGGTAGCGATAGTGGCTGTTTAGAAGAGTGTGACTTGATTTTCGTCTCTAAGAAAGGAGGTGATTACCATGACGAAATGAATGCCAGCTGCTTCGAGAGCTGGTTTCAAGGGGTGCTTCAGCGAGTTGAGCCCAACTCTGTGATCGTCATGGATAATGCTTCCTACCATAGTCGTCGAGCCGAACGTGTACCGACTATGGGATCTCGAAAAAGTGACATGCAGCAATGGTTGCGCGAAAAAGGAATCCAGTTTGACGGTTCATGTGTGAAAGCGGAATTGTATGAAAAAATTAAACAGCACAAACCTGCGAACATTAGTTACGTGACTGATGAGATGACCCGTCAATGTGGTGTCACTGTGCTGCGGTTACCGCCTTACCACTGTGAACTGAACCCAATAGAGCTCATCTGGGCTCAAGTGAAGGGTTATATTGCGCGCCATAACACAACCTTCAAATTACCAGACGTTAAGGTTTTACTTGAGACTTCCATACAGCTAGTAACGCCCGAAGCTTGGCAGAATGCTATCCGTCATGTTGTGAAGGAAGAAACAAAAATGTGGCAGCTTGACCACCACATCGACACCATCATAGAGCCAGTTATAGTCAATTTCAACGAGGAAAGCGATAGCGACAGTTTATTACTGTCAGATGTAAGTGGAAGCGACGATGAGTAAAGGTAATTCCCAAATTTTTTACAATATGTTTCAAACCACTCTTTATTAAGCATGTGACAAATCTAGTTCACCCATGTTAAACATTCATACCCCGCCTATGAACAGCCGACTACTGGTAGTTAAGTGATGTTCACGTGAACATCGATGAGTCATTACAGTTTTAGATAGTTATAGTATAGTCGAGGTGGTTGGATCTTCTCGCACACTTTCACTCACTGCGGCTATGTTTTCGCGAGTACGAGCCGGACGAGCATGTTGGTATAGTCTACGACCTTCATCTGAACCAGTTTCCTCAAAACGATTAACAATCCAACGAGTTCCAGGCTCTGTAGGGCGCCCAAGCCGGTCAAAACTAGTGCGAAGGTTGCGAGAAGTATTTTTTTATATTTCGACCGTTTTCGTAATAAGTTTGGATAACGAAAATGCGTTGTTGTGTTGTAACCGAATCCATGACTATAAATGGCATACCTTTGACAGTTCATCTAAGCATACCACATGATGTTTGACTCACATGGTAACACATAAACTTATAGGTAAAAAAAAGTAATAGATGGCGCGCACCCGCTACTTGAGTGACAAAAAACGGTAAACACCTGAACTAAAATGAGGAATAAGACATTGCTGTAATGAATACTTACTGCATCGATATTGTACTTGAGTATTTTGTTAATATAAGACGGCATTTCAATGAATGAAATATTATCGCCCCAACTGCAACCAAACTGGGCCAGCGTAATACCAAGAAACGGTAAAGACGTAAGAATTTTTGTCCAAGGCGTGGCCCTATACTGAAAACAGATATTGCAAATGCAGATTACATATATTTTTAAATATCCGTTTTGACTAGTTTGTAGGCCTCCAGAGAACGAAGTTGGGGCATCTCTGGATCAAGTGTATCGTGTTGAGAAATAAACCGCCACTTTTCTAAAATTTTCGTTTTTCTTATGTAGGTACTTATCGGACCGCCCCCGTACAGCCATCGAACACGGACACAGGTGCTGCGGAGGGTCACCCGCGTTGTTATTCTGTCAATGCGGTCCCTTGCTTTCTCCGTATCGGTCGTCGACGTTAAAATTATGACTTTAACTAACAGCTATACGTAAGTTTTCAAGTACATTAGTCTCTTTTATTCCCTTAATTGCAGATTTATAACGCCATTTGGAACATTTTAGCCTCACATAAGACAGCTATTCTAGGTCGGTTTAAATTGTTTTTCTTAACAAAAATTAATAAGATTATTGGCAACTAACTTGATATAGATGTAAAACTCATTAATAATAGTGTATGCAAATGATGTGCATACACAGATCAGAATAAAATATAAAGATATACAGGATGGCCAATATATAACTAACTGATTTAAATTGCGCGCCATTTTTATACACGCATTTCAGTAGGAGGCGCCGTAGACGTTGTTTAAAGCACATGTATCCGATTGATGATGGAGCGCTGCACGATCCCACCACGCGCCCGTATTGTTCAAACGTTTTACTTAAATAATGAGACAAGATTTCGATCGAAATAATGTGCCCACTTTTAACACCATTCGTTGGTGTGGAAATTGTACTCCGGAACATATCGAGAGAGTTCGTGAAAGTGTAGTGGAGCGCCCTGATACGTCTACCAGACATCGTTCTCAACAACTGGGTATTCGTCGCGCGTCATTATACACTATTTAAGACTTGCATTTGCGGCCACGCAATAACTACAGACTAGTGACCATGAAAGTCGCCGACAATACAGTCGTGGAATATTGCAGCTTAATACAACATTAACAATAAGACAAACAATATTATGATATGGTGACTAGAAAGGTAGGAAAAATTGGGAAAGCGATGTCAAAACGGACAAGTCGTAAGACATAAATTCATAGATACCAAAGAAACCTCTATATCTACAGCTCTTATCTGTTTGATATACAGGGTGGCGCATCGAAAACGAAACAGACGCATTTACTGGCAGCTCAGTTTTTTTTTTGCAGCCGCCTGGGCGAGGGTGACACCAACCCTAAAATCTTAAATGGAAAGGGGGGTCGAGTGATACCTTATTTTAAAGATCGTTCAATTTCCTTTATAATGATGTAAAATACATGAGCTTAGGTTCAGTAGTTTTGAAGATTTATTGATTTAAAGCTTAAAGTAGAGTTTAATAGGTACATCGGATTAGTTTGTACTACTTTCAGAAGAAATTTGACTAAAAGAATTTCCTTAATAAGTAAATGCTTTCCTTCACTACGCCCATGGTTTGTTTATCATTTTGTTGTTCAAAATAGCTATTGGAGCGTTTTTTTTGTGTCAAAAAAGTTATTTCTTGAAAAAAGATAAGGAAATATCTCGTACTTATTTTAAATAGGAATTTAGTACATAGTTTGCGATTGATTTGACCAAATTTTCTTTTTTCTATTTCGTTTACGATGCGCCACCCTGTATATCTACATATTCAAAGAGTAGTTTCTATCTATCCTACTCACCTCTGCGTTTTCTCCTCGTGATCCAAAGAAGAAGTAATATACTTCTTCTCCACTTGCGAGATGAATTTGTGGTCAAAAGGTGTATCAGCAGCGAGAACTATCCACAATGCCAACCACATTACACCCAAAGCACCGTTGAAATAAAAACTGCATGGCCAGCCCCAACTGGACGAACATAAAAACCTGTGACCGGCATTGTAACTATAACGCCCAGAAGGGAACCTAAACGGAATCGTCGTTACTGGCGTGTTGATCGTGGCTTAGGCCAATTTCACTCACCGGAACCACCAAGTGCTCCAAGAAAGGATCTCTCGGCCGGTGGAGCCCACTGGGAGAGGACGCTGTATAGGGCTGGAAGAACACCAGCTAAAAAAGGTACAGTACAATCAGGAACATGGCGTCCCAGAGAAGGCTTAGGATTTTCAAATTAAATAAAAAATATCAAAAATGGATCACCAGATGTACGAGCTTCATTTTTTTAAGATTACGTCATTTTGATGTTCTACATCTCTTCGCGCGTTTTTGTAGGATTCTGTTCTTTGCATTTTGGCCTTCAAGCAAGAAATCGAAAATATACTAAGTGACATATAAATCCGAACACCCAGTTTAAATGGTTTTATTTTAATAAAATTTTGTATAAGTACTCAATGAAGCATAATAAGTAAATGATAAAAATTTCAAAATGATTGCACTGCTTTGAAGCCCTTTGACCTTTAATAATGTGTGGATGCACCCTGATGTGCTACGCATTCTCCAACGCGCCTAGGCATGCTTCTGATCAGGTGGTCAATGTCCTCCTGTGGTATCTCATTCCAGGCAACCACCAACTCCTCTCGAAGTGCTTCTAGAGTCTGAGGAGGACGTTGCAAATTGAGCAATCTCGTACCCATCATATCCCACACGTGCTCAATTGGGGATAAGTCGGGAGATCTTGGTGGCCATGGTAACAATGTGACATCATTATGTTGAAACAAGTCTATTGTGACTCTTGCAACATGTGGTCGGGCATTATCTTGTTGGAAAGTTGGATCTGCCAGGGTGTCAAGATAGGGTAAAAGATGGGTTTCTAGAACTTCGTGGATATAACGCTGTGCGTTCATGTTACCTCTGATGAAGATTAAAGGTGACCTGGAACCATAAGCTATAGCACCCCAAACCATAACTCCAACAGTGTGATGAACATGTCTTTCAACAAAAAACTGTGGATTCCTCCTTTCACCACGTCGCCTTCTAACCCTGGCACGACCATCGTGCATGCCTAAACAAAATCGAGACTCGTCACTAAAGACAATACTGTTCCATTCCTGATCCCAGAGTGACCGTTGTCTGCACCACTCAAGGCGATTACGTCGGTGTTCTCGAGTTAAAGGGAGGACCCAGTGTGGCCGGTATGAAAACAAGCCAAAACGTATCATTCGTCGGTAAACACTTCGCATGCCAATAGGTCTTCCGTGTTCTGCAGACCATTCATTTGCAATGGACCTGGTAGTGGAGAAACGGTCCCTTAAGGCCAATAATCTTAGGCGGCGATCTTCACGGTCTGTTGTTCTACGGCGGCGTCCAGTGCCCCTTGCTCTTTGCGTACGGCCTTCTCGAAGCCATGCCTGACAACAACTAACCACAGTGTCTACACTTCTTTGCACTCTAACTGCAATTGCCCGAAAAGAAAGTCCAGCTTCCCGAAGTCCCACTATACGGCCCCTATCAAACTCATTAAGTTGACGAAATCGTACAGGTCTCCGTACTCTAGGCATCGTAACCGATCGTAAAGGATGTCAAGCACCAACATCCGCGAACGTTGATTCTTTACTGCGGCTGAAATATTCATTTTTAGAGCGTTAGTGAATTAAAAAAAGCAGTATAAAAACCGGAATGTCCAACTGATAAGGCTGAAAATTTTTTCACTTGTTATCCACAGTAAGATAAATACATTCAGCAACTTTTATTAAAATAAAACCATTTAAACTGTGTGTTCGGATTTATATGTCACTTAGTATAAAATCGATGGCCTGAGATGAACATTTTTTTTCATTGTTGTGTGTTTTTACAGAGACATTCACCCTCCTTAAAGTTAGAGCGATTTAATTGGATCCTAATGTAGCTACCCTAGCCAATAAGTAGTACCTTGAGCAAACCCCTGTAGAGCACGGCAGGCCATCATCCCGTACGAACCAAACGTATCAGCCGTCACAGGAGTGAGAATGCATATGATGCAATTGATTGTCATGCTGATGATAAGAATCCTCTTCGTACCGTATCTTTTCATAACTACGGCCATGAACACTTGGGGAATTATGTAGCCCCAGAAGAATGACGATAGTACTACATTTTTGTTGGTCCAGTTATATGTCTGCAAGAGAAAATATTATCAAAAGTGGATTTCTTCAAAATCATTGCTTGTGCGTACAGAATTTCTTCAGGAAAGACTGTTTTCGTGCACTTGTACTACATCTGACCCCGCATCATCGTATGCAACGATTGGTATGGAGGAGGGAGAGACAAATTCTGTGTGGACACACATGATGGTCGTCCAAGAGTAAGGAGGAGATGTGAACGGCTTATTCATCGCACTGTGAGTCTTATGGTATGTGGTGCCAGTTCTTAAATTCACTATCAACAGAGGGTTTACTTGTTTCCTACTAAAACCATCATTTCAATTCCCCTCGTTTATATGACCGATAACTGATGGCAGGCGTCGTTTGAAGTTTTCAAGATGATCTTTTCTAACTTTTTCTCGTGTCACAAAAATACCTATATACACCCCATCCTTCCCTCCTTGAGGTCTTTAATATGACCTTGGAGCTCTGCTGGTGTGCAATGTCTCAGGAGATTCCGCTGATGTGCCATACAGCTCTTCAGTTGAGGAATCTTCTGAAGATTCCTCTGAGGCAAAATCACCAAGGGAGGCACTACTGCCACTGACGCCGTTGACCCTAAAATATCTCCTGACGGATCTTACAATATGTGGCTCCTCATCGAGGTCATTATCAAAGTCATAGCTGGGAGAGAACTGACTTTCCGTTGCATCAGCGAAAACCTCGACCTTTTCCTCTGTCCTACAGACTATGCCCCTAGGACGGTGGATGTGCTTTCCGTTTCTGAGCGACTGTCCAACTTTCGAGAGAAGAATACTTGAGTCAAGCATCCCCGACAGAAAGTCGCTCCATTGCTCATTACGGAATTCATGAAGAGCATTTCTCACTTCATGAACAACATTCGTTGCTCTGTGAATGTCATCTGGGTGACAAGACCTCTTCGCTTGCTTAATTGCAGCTCTTTTATCAGAAATTTTCTGACGAATGTCTGCAGAGAGAATGATGCTAAAACATGGAAAATACAAACCTTTAAAACAAGTTCAGTACCTTATTCCTATTATGACGGCTAGAATGTATTTCAATTATTATAACAGAAATTCACGATACGTCTCGGATTATCCGTCTCAATACAGATATCGACTGGACTATAAGTGATCCGCTTATTGTTGATAGGAACAGTGCTGCATATGTGCGCATGTTGTACAACGGAACAGACTTTCACAAAATTCAAATCTTTGGCGTCTACCGTTTATAACCACACTTTTAGTTGTCATCTTAACGGTTTTCGCGAAAGTATAGCTAGGTTTAATAAATAGATTTAAAATGTCTGTTGCTAAAATAAATCGAGTAAAAGAGAAAGTAGAAGAGCAGTTAAATAAATTAAAGCTTTCTGGTGAAGTAAAATCAGAAATGAGAACATTAATGAGGAAAGCTATGTTACATCCATGTTATGGGAACCCAGAGTGAGTTTTTTGATGCACTTCAATGTACAGTCCGATAGATTTTCATGTGTATTTAGTGTCCAACGACTTAATGACGCCACATATCTGGTAAAGGGTATAGCTCAGGCCTATTGAAAGAAATTAAACTCACTTTTTTGTGAGAGGTACACCTTTTCACTGTAAAAGGTCAATGCCTTATTATGGGCTCTAAGGGCTTTCCTAGCATTTATTGAGATTTATTGAAATGTTGTCCTAAGTATAGTCATTGTGTAATCATCCTAAATATTAGTCATGTATTTTTATTTTTCTCAGATACAACTGGTCTCTAAATGATTTTGAACTTGGAGCTAGGCTGGGTAGAGGAAAATTTGGCAGGGTCTACATTGCTAGAGAGAAGTATACCGGTTATGTTGTAGCCCTGAAGACACTTGTCAAAAGGAACTACACAAAAGTCATGTTGAGAAACTGATCCTGCGAGAGATTGAAATCCAAAGTCATCTTCAGTAATTATAATAAAATGTTCATTTAATCAAGTTTTTAATATGTTTCATTTTCCAGGCACAAGCATATCTTGCAATTATTGACATGGTTCCATGACTCTCACAGGATATATTTGGTGTTGGAATATGCGCAGAAGGGAGAATTATACAAACACCTTACTAATGCTCCTGGGAAAAGGTTTCCTGAGCCGCTGTATGTTTTTCATTTATTATTCAGTATTGTAGTTTTATTGTTTGCATGAAATATGATGCAGATTGTAGATTAACATAGATTAAATTGTTTATGGGATTATTTTATATATTTCATCCTATCTTTCCATACAGGGTGTTCGAGGCTTAAATGGATAGTGAAGTGGTAGATAGTAAGGACTGAGGCTTTTCCATATCTGAAAATAAAAAATGCCTAGGACCACACTATCTACTGTACCACTATGCCAATTTAAATCTCGAAGATTCTGTATAGTAACTGAACTATTTACCACAATTTACTTGGTTTTATATTTATAGCCTGAACTGAATATATTTCGACTTTCCTACATGTGTTAATATCAACATCTTACTTTCAGAGCCGCCAAGTACATTTACCAAGTATCAGATGCGTTGCACTACTGTCATCAAAACCAAGTCATACACAGGGACATAAAACCAGAAAATCTGCTACTCACAATAACCAACGATATCAAAGTAGCTGACTTCGGATGGTCTGTCCATGCTCCATCACTAAAACGTAAAACTATGTGTGGTACTCTAGATTACCTGCCACCAGAGATGGTGAAGAATCAGGAGTATAGTTATCATGTTGATATGTGGTGTTTAGGTAATTTCAAAATTATTTTAGAGATATTTAAAAGACTCTCTAGATATTATACTAGCAATAAATAAAATAATCTGTAATGGGCTCATTCAGGTAACGATACCAGTGTTATTGGTAAAGTGATTTTTCTGTCTGCAGTCATTTAAATAATACAGATGCTGACATCAAACTTTCCCAAAAAACCACCTGATATCTGGGAAAGACTCAAGCAACTTACTTGATTCCATGATTTTTTTAATGTTCACAATGACTACAAATTTTGCATATGTATACAGGGTGTCCCAGAAGTCGACGTCAAGCCGAAACCGGGTGATAGGCAAAGTCATAACAGCTATCAGAAAAATATTTAAAAAAATTTTATGTATGTGTTTTGAAAATTATAGGTCTTTGAAAAAATATAGTAATTTCACACCCTACGGCAGTCTGTCAACTCCTGTTACTACAAATATTAACTTTTTTTGGATTTTATTTTACAATGTAATGATGAATAATGCATCTTCAAACTGGTGTCTGAACCTTACTGCCAACTTTTCTCGTTCAGGAAAAATTGCCACTTATTTCCCAACCAAGTATTCCAAAGTAAAACTTTGCTCAACTTTAACTGGCTGTACTGGAAAAAAATGTATTACGAGAGTTTGCAAGTAACCTTAAAAGTTGGCGCATTTAATAAGGATTCCAAATGGTATAACACTTAGAAGATTACTCGTTAACTTATGCACAATTTTATTTGAAGAAAAACTGATGAGAATTTTCCAAAATTTCCTAATTAAACAGCGATTATGAAAACGCACAAGGACCCTTAAGGATAACTGTTTGCACAACAGTGGGCGTCAAAATGCTGCTGATGATGATTTACCTTTACAGCCAATGCTCAAACTGTTTTCCTTCAGCCGCAATACACGCTCGACATCTTCTTAAAAAAGATCGGGTTATTAAATGAGCGAATCCACGATTATTAACAAACTCAGCTGCTTCCAATAGTCTTTGTCGTAGCTCAGCTATATTTTGAATCGGCTTGAAATACACTATTTCTTTTACAGTTCCACAGTAAAAAAAAGTGTCAGATGAGACCACATTTAAGAAAGATGGGTACATGAACCTGCATAACTTACACGAGTGGCACGTAGCAAACCCACATTTGATGAGAGAAGATAAATCTCAATATCGCTTCAAGATAAACCATTGGACAGGAATTTTAAATGGTAAAATAATCGGTCCGTTTGAGTTCCCAGAGACTTTGACTGCTGAGGTTTATTTAGGTTTTTTGCAAAATCATTTATAAAATTTATTATACGTGCCACTGAGTATTTACAGGGAATTGTGGTTTCAGCATGATGGCTGCCCAGTGCACTATGTACTCTCAGTGAGAGAGTATCTCGATCAAAACTTTCCAGGCATATGGATAGGCGGTCTGGTACAATACCGTGGCCAGCCCGATCACCTGATTTGAATCCTTTAGATTTTTTTACTGGGGAACCGTAAAAGAAAAATTGTATTTCAAGCCGATTCAAATGTAGCTCAGCTACGGCAAAGACTATTGGAAGCAGCTGAGTTTGTTAATAACCATGGATTCGCTCGTTTAATAACCCGATCTCTTTAAGAAGATGTCGAGCGTGTATTGCGGCTGAAGGAAAACAGTTTGAGTATTTGCTGTAAAGGTAAATCATCAGCAGCATTTTGACGCCCACTGTTGTGCAAACAGTTATCCTTAAAGGTCCTTGTGCGTTTTCATAATCGCTGTTTAATTAGGAAATTTTGAAGAATTTTCATCAGTTTTTCTTCAATTAAAAATTGTGCATAAGTTAACGAGTAATCTTCTAAGTGTTATACCATTTTGGAATCGTTATTAAATGCGCCAACTTTTAAGGTTACTTGCCAAACTCTCGTAGTACATTTTTTTCCAGTACAGCCAGTTAAAGTTGAGCAAAGTTTTACTTTGGAATACTTGGTTGGGAAATAAGTGGCAATTTTTCCTGAACGAGAAAAGTTGGCAGTAAGGTTGAGACACCAGTTTGAAGATGCATTATTCATCATTACATTGTAAAAATAAAATCCGAAAAAAGTTAATATTTGTAGTAACAGGAGTTGACAGACTGCCGTAGGGTGTGAAATTACTATATTTTTTTCAAAGACCTATAATTTTCAAAACACATACATAAATTTTTTTAAAATATCTTTCTGATAGCTGTTATGACTTTGCCTATCACCCTGTATAGAGGTAAATAACGTAGAAGTTTACATTGTAAATTTCATTTCAGGTGTATTGTGTTACGAATTTCTAACCGGAAAACCGCCATTTGAAAGCGAAGATCAAGATACAACATATCGAAAAATTAGATCCCTGGATTTCGATTATCCACCATTTATTTCAAGTGCTGCCGAAAATCTCATATCCAGACTGCTTGTTCTCGATGGCAAGTCGCGCTTATCGCTCCCAGAAGTGATGAAGCATCCGTGGATTCAAGAACAAATGAAAAAGGCTTAAAACTTTTCATTGTAATTTCATGTGTACTGAAGCTTTTCCGTTGTTATTTACATTTAACGAAAAATATATATTTTAATACTAACAGAAACTGTCTTTGTTTCATTTATTCCCAAGTCCTAATAATATCATATACCCAGAAACTTGAATCGATGTCTCGCATAAAAATTTCGTAATATCGCAAGTAAAACATTTAATAAAAAGTTATTCAAAATTATTGTAACTGCGAGGAAAACTTGCAGTGCTTAACATAAAACAAGATCGTAGATACATACAATAAAAAGAAGTGGCCCAAGAACCGATCCTTGCGACACTCCCGACGATATTAAAGCCTCAAGAGGAGTGTTCATATCAATGACAACTCTTTGTGATCTATTTCTTGAAAACTTATTGATTAGAACAATTAAAGAGTCGGAGAAACCATAAAGTTTACATTTGGCTATTACGAGTAAAAGTGAATGGTTGATGGTGTCAAAAGCTTTGGTAATCTTGTTAGGGCGTAAGAAACTTACCGGAACACTGGGATTCGTTGTCGTAGAATTGTCCGTCATAGCAACTATCGCTATAGACACTGAATCTCTCATGCTGTATGCAACGAAGTTGAGAAGAAATATGAGGGAGACCTGTACGTGTCGCACTCCACATTTCGGACCTGAATGGAATAAAGGCGTCAAATAATACGCACCACAATTTTGTCTCTTACGTGACACATAATTTTTTAAATTATAGAAAAACATTTCGAGTGTTTTAATTAATTACTAATTAACTGAACGGAAAACTGTTGAATGGAATGTTGCAATTCATTTTGATCTCTCACAGTTGTCGTGAAGAAAGTTTTAAATTAAAATTGAAGGATTTCGAGAGGGCAAACTAATGATGATCTCAACCACGACCTGGACCCCAACCTTAAAGGTCATTTTACGGTCAACCAAACATTTTCAAACTCAGTATATCGGTATTGGAAAGAGGAGGAAATCTTACGTCAGAATATGACCTTAACGCTGATCTTCAAGCCCAAGACATTGAAAACTATTTGTTCCAGCATAAATGTTCGACAGTCGTGAGCTTTGTGGGGGTCACCCAAAGGTGACCTTGACAATGACCATGGCGTTCAAGGTCACATGTCAGAATTTTACACAACAGAATTTCTTGCTCACTGCAATTTTTTGGCATAAAAAGGGTTGCCTTACATAAAACATTTGATTGACATGGCTTTGACTTTGAGGTCAAGGTCATAAATATGAATGGATTCCATTAAAAATTTTGACTTGGCCTTGAGAGTTATTGCTCAGGTCACCTTTAGGTGACCAACATGAACCTACAAATGTGCCGTCGAACATTCTTTTTGAAACAAATTCTTTTCGGTGTCTTTACTTGAGCTTGAAATGGTCTTGAAGGTTACTGTTATTTTCATGACCAAGGTCCTATTCCGACATAGAACTTCCTCCTATTTACAATTTCGGAGACAAAAGGAGGGTTCAATTTAAAAATATGGATTCCTTTGAAATATATTACTTGACCTTGAAAGTCATTGTCAAGGTTATCTTTAGGTAACCTCCATAAACCTTGTGAATGTGCTGTCGTACATTTTTTGGAACAAATTATTTTCAGTGTTTTTATTTGAGCTGGAAATGAATTGACCTTGACCTCAAAGTCAGACGTAGCATTAGATTCTTTTGAAAATTTTAAGTTGACCTTGCAAGTCACGGGCAAGGTCATCTTTAGGTGTCCCCCGTGAACCTTGCAAATGTGTTGTGGAACATTTCTCTGGAACAAAGTATTTTCAGTGTCTTTACATGGGCTTGAAATGGTCTTGAAGGTTATTGTGTTCATGACGAGGTCATATTTGGACGTAGAACTTTCTCCTCTTTTCAATTTCGGTGTCAAAAGGAAGATCTAATTTCCGTGAAATGGCCTTGAATATCGACGTGAAAATTATGTTCAAGGCCACCATAACTTTAAACTCTCGGAACTTTAAAATTTTTTCCCTTCTAGGATATGGACGTTACAGAATTATTTATGTGGGCAGATCAAAATGGGACGCCCTGTATAGTCGCAAACGTAAAGGTGGTTGGTGACGCGACTACAGGGTACGTACTCTCGTTTTCGTGCAGGCCCAGATTTCGTTTAAATTTGGTATATTCTGTTGGCATATGTGAATCTACATATATAGTTCTGTCCTTTAGGCGAATGTTACACTTTCTATATTTTTTGTCATCCATCATTATTCACCATGAGATGTAGTATTTGTTGAACGTGTATCACGGACAAATACTGACGATATAAACCACAGTAATACTGAACGTGTAGCATCAACCTTGGGCGCAGTATTGTTGGCGCGCAAAATTTCCAATCAAGGTCAGATCTCGGAAGCCGGCCCTGAACATTACCTACATCTTCGTAAATCTACAATGAGAACCAAATTTGTCCTTGAGTCCAATGTGTATAAGACAGAAGCTCAACAAATAAATCGTACTGATACTAATCCTGTTGTTATATTCACGTTTTTAGGCCCACCTCTCTCAATATCCTCATTAAATTCATTTTTCATCATCCACGTTCAATATCAGAATATCAATTTACTTCAAACACCTCTCACTGTTATCTGTGTCAAACTTATTACTAATGTCGTTATCAATTCAGCTATTTTTATCCTAACAATACAATAAACGTTGTAATTCCTACATAAATGAAGATAACGAGGTCAATATCATTTCTAGTTGTTTGTAATGGGCAATGCTTCAAGCAGGTTTATCTTGAAAGCTCGTACAGTTCGGCTTTCCAGCAAAATCAGACTTCAATCCTTCACATAAAAGAATAGCATTTCGCGGCACATCGAATTGCCTAGCGACGAAACCCGTTAACCGTTCTCAAATAATTATACGGAAAATTCAATTATATGTCTATATCTACTGAAGTGATTGAGAGAGACGAGCTCAGCATTATTTATCTCCCATGTTTCAGACGCCTTTTTTCTTACCGAAGATAACCCACTTGGCCACTGAGCGATGTCTCCTTCACATGAAGTGACAAATGTTGAAAAAATAAATATTAAATGACACTTAATATTACTTAACTATAAGTGCCATGCAATAGTACAACCGCCAAGAAATCAAAATGCGTTATTCTTCATTTTGTCGACAACTCTTAAAACACGCACTGCATTTAAAAAGAAGCGTTTTGCAGCAATGGTTGAAAGAGTTAACATAACAGAACTAGTTACAAACACCATCACGAATGACTCCAGACTCCGAAAAATCTCAGATAATGCTCTGCGCCGAACATTTTGATGTCCCATTGTAAAGATTTTATACATACATATTTTGACTCTAAATTTGTTGACAAAACATGGGAAATAAAAACCTTTGAAATTAGCACCGTATTCTTTTCTTAGCATGACGGCTAGAATGTTTCAATTTCTAACAGGAATTCGCGATACGTGGAGTACCATCGCAATGCAGATATTGACTGGACTATAGATGATGCTCCTGTCGTTGATGGGAACTGCGCCGCATCAGTGTGCGAATTGTTCAGCTGAACAGACTTTTACAAAATTCAAATCTTTGGCGCCTAATCTCTCTTACAGTTTTTGCAAATGTTTAACTAGTTTTTAGGTAGTTTTTGAAGAATATCTGTGTAGGAATAAATAGATTTAAAATTTATGTTGCGAAGACAAATCGAGTGAAACAAAAAGTAGAAGAGCAGTTAAGGGAATTAAAGCTTTCTGGTGAAATTAAATCAGAAATGCAAACATTAATGACGAAAGCTATGTTACATCCATGTTATGGAAACCCACAGTGGAGTTTTTCACACTTCAATACGTACAATTCCATATATATTTTTTTTTCATGCATATTTAGTGTCCACGTTGGCTTAGGCATAGGCTTTATGAGGAGACATATCTGGCAATGATCTGGTAAAGGCCTACAGCTCAGGCATATTGTAAGAAATTAAACTCACATTTTTTTGTCAATGAGGTACACTTATTCATTTCCAAGTAGGAAGGTCATTAACGCCTTATTATGGGCTCCAAGGAACATCTATGTTTAACAGATGTTTTTCTCATTTTATGTACCACTTGTACATTCATGTCCCCACAAACCTTAAGTCTATGTCTGTGTCACCTTTTAAAAGAAGTTATAGAAAATTTCTATTGGATGAATGTGTGTGTTTCTATTGTTCCTTTCCTTTTTATATTTCAAATGTTTTTTCTTTTGTTAAATCTGCCTAAAATGATTTGACGTATTTGGTTAAATTATATTTTTTATATAATTTATACATATATTTTTTGACGTTGTAATTATTATTTATTATTAATATTAACTTATATAATTTGGTTAAGAACTACTCTGTTGTAATTTTGTTTGTTGGGCTAGTACTTTTTACTAGTCCCTTTTGCAGGGAATTCAATTTGCTCTGCAAATAAATGCTATTATTATTATTATTAGCAGCAATTTCATCATGGTTTATTTGGCTAGTCCAGCCCTGGTTTGATTCTAAAACGGGAATCAAATGAGTCAGGAAACCCATCTCTACCAGTTAAATGACGTGCTGACACATGCCGCCATTTGGAACTTTCAACTTTGGAATGCGCGCATGCGCACTCGCCAAGTATATCGTAAATAAACTTCTTCTGCTTGACTTCATTGACCCCCTGTTTTCTTCGTTTTCGCTGGTTTTCACAATCGTAAACACTTCCGAAGGCATTCATTAAACTGATCTCACCGAAGAGCGGTAGTTAAACAAAATATTCCTTGGAACCCTTGCAGAATCGTTGGAATAAGCTTAAAAGCCAGGTTATGTAGTGAGATTCCAGAGGGGCGTAACGTCCTATTTAACAAGATTTTAGCCTTTCCCCTATTTGTGGTTCATAAGATGTTTGGAAAGAAGAAAAAGAAGCCTCAGATATCGCAGCCTACAAATTTTGAGCACAGGGTGCACACGGATTATGATAAGAGACAGGGCAGGTAAAGTAGATCAAGAAACTAGCGGTTTTGATGCCTAACGCCAGGAATTGCAATTTTTTTAATTTATTATGAATACTAGCTTACTGAGCCTGAAAATTAGTGCCCCACTACTTTCGAAACTCGTCTAGACATTACTTTTTAGGCTATGTACTGGTTTTAAGTGTTATATCATGATTCAAAACTGTAATTGCTAAGCCACACTTTGTTGGTTACTGCCTCCCCCTTGCATATATGTACCATGATGTCTTTAAGCTTCTTATAACAGCCATAGTGCCCCAGTATTTAGGCTCCTCCCTATACTTCCGCTTTGGTATAAAATAAAGAGTCACAAATTGCAAGAGGAACATATCATGTTTTCATTATGGAAATACAACAGCATGAAGACATCTATTACCAGGATCAACTACAGTGGATCTCCAGTAATCCAACAAACATTATGCAGATCAGTGTCGGACTATCGAATTTGTCGGATTATAGAACATGTATATGTATGTACTTTGAAGTACAAATCATACATAGTTTATGTATGTCGTATTTAGTAAATTAAATAACAATAACGTCTCGTATTTGTTTATCTAAGTATTCCCATATATTTAATGAGTTTATATTCTGGAGACTGTGAAGGCCATTTGAGAACTGGTATTTTTTCATACAGAAATAATTTTTTGCGAGATTTGAAGTGTGCTTTGAGTCATTACTTGCTGCTGTGTATACAAACTTATCCATAATGCCATCTATTTCATGTAAAGGTCCCATCCCAAACCCTGAAAAGCACCCCCAAACCATAACAGACTGGCCTTCATGTTTGACAGTGGGCAAAATGTACTTGAGGTTCAATATTTGTCCACTAGGACGTCTAGCGTAATGAACACCATCTGATCCAACATATTGAACTTGGATTCGTCACTGAAACATACCCTCTTTCAGTCACAGACATCTTTGTATAACTCAAGATCTTAGTTTTACACATCGAAAAAAAATTTCTGGACCACACGGCATGGTCTTAAAATCACTCAACTTATTCCACATATTTGATGAACACAAACTAATCTTCTGACACGAAACTATACTAAACTAATGTTGAAAAGAATTTGTCTACATATTTTTGTCCCTCATAAAAAAGTGCTTATATTCAGACTTGTATTGTGTTGATTGCAGATAATGTTAAAACAAGGAATTTAGTTTATGGAGCAATATTTACCTAAAGGTATTTAAATATTCATTTATAGTCTATATACTTTTGTCCATTACTGTATATGTAGTAACACAAAACAATGAAATAAAGTCACTTTAAAGACGCAAAAATTTACATAAGTCATATGATTTTCTTTTTCTTCAAAATGGCATCTTGAAATCATATTTCTAATTTCGAAAGAAGCTCCAAAGACTGTTCTCCCTTATTTTGACAAAACTTTTGAACTGTTTGTTCCAGGTAATAGCTTTACCATATTATTATTATTATTATTATTATCAGAATATTCTGAAGGTTCTTGTATTTCAACTGGATTTTCAATTTCTTAGTCTGAATCTGGATCTTCAAAATACAAACCTTCATATTATAGGTTGAAAAAATCATAAAGGTTTTCATTATCAGTCAGTTTTCAGTAAATTCTTATATAGATAAGTGGTAACCATCGGGTCAGATATCAGCATCTTTTAACTGGTGTTCACTTTGTATATTTTCATGCTCAAATCCTGGCTTTGCAGAAGCAATTTTTCCACTGTTTTTTTTATGAACTTACAACCTGTAACCACAGTCTCAATGTTTACTAATCAGTTGTCTGAGTATTAGATATAGACTTCGGTAATAAGTTTTAAAACTAAAGTCCAAATGGCCCGATTGAGAAATGCATTAGCGATACTCTCAACAGAAAAAAAAAGACAAGGTGTTTCTATTTATTTGCGAATTATATGCGAGATGGTCGGACCCTGAGAAACTGTCCATTTAAAGAACGTGTCCGTGTAAAAGGGGTGACCTTGAAAGGGAATTTCACTGGATATATTATTAAATGATTATATACCATTTGTTATTATAGGTTTGTGGGATTACCATTGCAATGGGCCTCCATTGTGGCAACAACCAAATATTGAAATCCACAATCGACCTCTACCGTTAGTGGATCCATCAGAAATCACTCCCACTGAAATTCTGGACCTGAAAACTATTGTTAGGGGAGAACATAAACATGAGAACATAGACGACTGACTGTCTTTAACAATAAAATATGATGAGTTTTTAATATCGGCAAATAGAAGACCTAATTTTTTAATTAATCACACCTTACTTCAGATGAGTGGTACCAATCAGCACCTCAGCCGCCGTCAGTTAGCGGATCGGTGATCGGCGATCGATCCATTAACAATGGAATCGTTTTGCCGAAAACATCCAACGTCGCCAGATCAAATTCTCTGCGTAGTCAAGCCCACCGAGATTGAGACGAGACCACAGAAGCAATGCCAATCTACTACCGCCTTCAGTCCCCGAGGAACAGGTCGTCCTGTATACGTCCATGAGAAGGGATCCAAGCATAGGTAAACTAAAAACGTTGAAGCTGTACTAATACCATACCCTAATAATTTTTTATTCGATTGCAGGCAAGCCTCAGGTGGTGAGAGATAGTTCGCCAGCAGAAAGATCTATCAGCAACCACGAGATGAACAATGCGTATGCCAACGGGAACGTCGTGCTATGTCTGAAGCACATCATGCTTACCTGTCACGAGAACATCCTCAAATTTCGCCATCTGGCTCGATGGTATCGGGTCCGCCACCACCGTCGATGGTGATGTCGCATAGGGTGAGTTTTACAAAATAAATTTTCATTCACACATTCACGGTCGTTTTTGACAATTTATTCTAGCCTCGAGTATTGATCGCACGTTTGGGGCCGCGCCCCAACTACATCACTAAGGGTACTATAAAAGTTTTGCAATAATAATAATAATGTTTATTGGTCCAATTACAAAGTTTTCGTATAAATAATAACGGCAATGTAGAATAAACATAATGTACTCAAAAAAGTATACACTTGTGCTTGGGTTT